TAGCCTTGATTGGGATCTAAGCTCTGCTACTTATTAGCTGGGTAATTTCGTTTGAGTTATTTTATACCATTCTGAGCCTCAGATTTCTGACCTTTATAATACTGATCCTGCTTTTTTGGTAAGGATTAGTGATATGTTTCTGATACAGTATTTCAGACAACACAGAAGTTAGCTTTTTCCCAATTTGGGGGAAAGAAAAAGTTATTTTTTAGATAGCAGTCCTCTCCAATTTTAAAAGACATTGTATTGCCTCTGAACTTTTTTTTTCTTTTTTTCTTTTTTTTTTTTGTTTTTGATATGGAGTCTTGCTGTGTCACCCAGGCTCACTGCAACCTCCACCCCCTGGGTTCAAGCAATTCTCCTGCCTCAGCCTCTTGAGTAGCTGGGATTACAGGCACGTACCACCACGCCCAGCTAATTTTTTGTGTATTTTTAGTAGAGACGGCGTTTCACCATGTTGGTCAGGCTGGTCTCGATCTCTTGACCTTATGATCCGCCCGCCTTGGCCTTCCAAAGTGCTGGGATTACAGGAGTGAACCACCGTGCCTGGCCTGAACTTTCTAATAGTCTAGAGTCCTCATGCATTTTTTTTTTTTTGAGTTGAATTACAAGTACTATGACTAGAAATATTTCCTGAGTGTCTACTATGTCTGTGAAACGAAGAAATTTTAGTAAAGGGTGAGACCAATGAGGAATGTTAAGGGGACTTTTGTATAAATAGTTTAATTAATGTCTTCTAGAGTTGATAGCCGTGCCTGCAGAAAGAAGATGGAGAAAGAGGGTAGTGACTAGTGGCTGGCCACGTGGTTCTAAAATCTCTATGAGCATTGCCAGCTCCAACCTTATCCTGATGAAGGAAAGAAAATAAACTCAAACCCCAAAGAATGCTGAATATCTGAAGCTTCTGAGAGCCTTTCTGATTAGCTGACTAACTGAAGGAAAACTCCCAGGGGTAATGATGTGTTCTCTGATGTTAAGAAGGGGAAATCTAGTCTGTAAAGATTACGCATAAAATATTTCTGAAAAGTGAATAACCTGATTGAGGTTCAGCTAAAGGGAAATAAAACTGTAATTTATTTTTTATTTTGTAAGCCTTTGCATAGAAAATGAAAAGGCAGGGTTGGGTTAGTATCATCCTTTTTTGTGTGTGTTTGTTTTGGTAAAATATAGAAAAGTGACTTTTGTTAGTAAATTCTGTCTCATAATGATTATAATTTTATGATGCAAATAAGATCAGACACTGATTTTGTAAAGCTGGCTTCAGTTTTCATTTAGAGTTGACATATATTTAGTACATAGAATTTAGGCTTACCTAAAACATTAATGTTTCATTTTACACAGCATTAGTGCATAATAACAAGGATGGGTGACTGGTAGTTCTCATGCTTAGCTGGCTCTTTTCTTTTCCTGTTCTCTTGGTGCTTATAATTGTTTTGGGCTTAATATCCAGTGTTTGCAGTAGTTCACTGTACATGAGTAGAAACCAAAAATAAAGCTTTAGATAGCACTCCTTATGGTGGCTTTGCTCCTAGTAGAATATCAACATTAGTTTACCAATTTTAGAAAATTGTAGTTTAATTTTCTTTTGCCCTTATTAATTTGAAATGTGTTATACTCTATTTCTTTCAATGATGCTCATCAATAAACATTTTATTTTTTCTATATTTGTTAAATAAGCTTCATCACATAATAAGGCTAGATGTGATTTCCTGGTAGTGTAGTGTAAATATGTGGCTTAAAATTAGTTAACAGTGTTGTCCTTTTAAGGACACACTGCACAGGATATTTAATGCAGCTAATAAATGGAAGCAGGTTACTGTCTGAAAGACTACAGCTGACTGTACGTTGCAAGTAGTGTATAAAACATTGAGGTCTGTTGGGATATACACAGCTGAAGCATATTCCTGGAAGTCACTGCTCAGCTTTGGAAGGTTTGGTAGTAATGATGCATTAGTTGACTTTTTACATGACAGAGTAATAGGACATTTAGATTTTAAAAAATGACAGAGGTTTGGTAGACAATGGTTTGTGGTTTATAGGAACAAGGTTAGGATGAAATTGTTTGAATCTTATTTGAAGGATAAGGAAAAAGCAGAGGTGGGACTAGGTTGTACGTTAGAAGTGGTTTGGATTTTTGACAGTCATAGTCATTTATAGTTTAAGTAGAAATTGGCGGTATCCTGATTTACTAAGAAGTGAACATTGAGGTCTGTTGGGATATACACAGCTAACCATTACTTAGCAAGCATTACCAGGAGCTTCACCATGCACTACACCTCTACTCTCCCAGTTCCTCCCCCACTTCATCCTAAGCTCTTTGATGTTCTTGGAAAAAGGTTTTCTAAAACTCAAAAGAAAGTTATTAATGTGGGAATCATTTGAAGTAATCTTTTCTGTTTTTTAAAAGGAAATTTAATAGACCTTTTCTGGTTTTGTTACTTGTTTTTGTTTTGCTTTGTGAAATGCTGTCACTGAGCTTTTTGCAGTTACAGAATTTGAAGGGCAAATATTAGCTGTATCTATGCCAGTGGTTTGGCTCCAATATGATTTAGAAGGAATGCCTTCTTGGGATTAGTGTCATCATATTTGATTATTTATTCGTTCTATTCTTAGCTGATTGTGGTTTGTTAGGTATTTCAACTTTCATTAACATTTGTTTAATGGAAGGTTGTTTAAAACTTGGGTCACAGCAATAAAATCGTTTGATTTAGTTTCCAAATTGCACTTAAAGCTTGAGGTTTTGGAAATTATTGTATTTGATGTAAAAGTGATTGGGCACAGGTTGTAGAATGATAAAAATAAATTTGATATTCTTTTTACTTATTCATTACACAGGCAGATTGACTTAAGCTTTATTTTCATAAAAGATGCCATGATTTTATACATTCTAGAACCTATTTCCATTTGTCTGAAACAACCACTTACACTGTCTCATAATTGAATGATATGTACTTTTAAAATTGTGTTTCACATTCTCAAACCGTCAGAATACACTGAATTTTTAGTATATAAAAATTTTCATGAGGTATTCTTTCCTGGCCAGAGACCACAACAGAGGTCTTGATTGTGTGGTTTCCTCCTCCTTTTTCCCTTCACTAACAGAGGTTTTCCTATCTTGGCAGCTGTTTCCTACAAGGCAGTCATCAGTCCCTGATTTCTTCCTTCCTCCTCCTTCCCACAAACAAGGGCTCTTTTGAATAGTGGATGACTGAAGACAGACTGATCTTGGATCACTTTAAGAAAGTGGAAACGTGTGCAAGAGTTGAGCATGTGGGCAAGCTGCCTGTATGCACTAGCTTATTGAAATTAAACAATGAAAACTTGGACAGTAAAAATTCTTTGCTTGAAATCTAGAGTGGTCCAAAGGCTGACTTTATTTTACTTGTAGCAGTAATGCACTTCGTCTAAATTATTCTGATTGCTGATCAGATCATTGAACAGACTGTAAGGATATAAGGAATTGTTCATTGATGGCCTTTTGAATGTGACAAGCCATGAGATTATCTGATTTTTTAAAATGCTTTACATAGAATAACTTTCAGTTTTAAGGCAGGCACATTGCTACAGCAGTTGTAAACTGCAGGTTCACTTTTGGTTTTGGTTACTTTTGAATAGTGTATGGGAGCTCAGAGTGAAAAATGTATAGAGCCAGCCAGCTAGTTTTGCAGGGATGTGTGCCATGTGTCTCCATCAGATTAATTTTGGAGACATCATTCTTCTTTTTGAGGAAGTTTGCATTTTCCTTTGTTTCTTTGGACAGATAAGCCATCTGAGGTGTTCTTAAATAGTATACTACTGATGTTGGTGATGCCCCCCTCCCCTGTGTCTTCAGTGCTTTCAGAGAGACCTAAAACTTGGACCAATTCATAGCAGGATCCTTAGGGAAGCATTTACATCTCTGAAACTATGGGCCTGAATGATTTCAGATTAATTTCTTACATTATTTTTGTTGTGTTCTTAATAAAGCAAGATATTACCTTTGTAGGTAATAAGTGTTTCAAACCGTTTAGCATCTGCCTACTTTTCCATTCAGGTTACATTATAATGAACTGATAGTAAAATGTAGTGTACTGCTAATAGCATCTTGTATGATATGCTATATGAAGCATGTAGTAAATGCACAGTAGGTCAGATAATGTGCAAGAACTCAAAAGTTATCAGGAAAATTTTGTTTTCTAAATTTTCTCTGTGGTTTAGTGACAGCATCGAAGTGATGTAATGAGTTTGTTTTACTGAGTTATATATATATAACCTCAGAAAGGGAAGGAAGAATTCCCTCACTGCTGCACTTTATAGAACTCTTTAGTTGCAGGAGGTTAAGAATGACTGGAGAAAACTTGGTGTAAGAGTATTACTTAGAAGAAAATAATAGGAAACGAACATGAAGAAACTGTAAGATGTTCCTTTAACAGCAAAGTTTGTAATTTCCTTTCCCTCAGAAGCTAAATGAGGAGGCTAGATATATTTGGGAAATGCCTTCATTTTATGTGTATTATAAGGCTAATGTTTGCTGTGATTCCTCACACAAGCTCAGAAAGAAGTAAAACACTTGGACAGAACCCAGCAAATGACCTGGTCTCATGTGATCCTAGAAGCCGAGAAACACTAAGTCATACTTCTGAAGTTTTTGTACACTCTCCAGTTTGGAGAACTGGATCCATAGGGGCTATGAAAACCTAGCAGTCAGGGAAATAAGTTTGACTTGGTGATTAGGAATGTGGCATTTCCAGAATCCCTTTGTATATGGCATTATTTTGCCATGTAGAAATTTTGGCAATTTCACTTGTCAAAAAGGCAGTCAACCTTTTTGGGCTTTGACTGTTTTCAGAATGTAAGATTCAGATATCCAGTGTATAGGAGCAGCTTCCATAGTGGACATAGAATCAAAATACGTTTTATATTCAGGAGAGAGAGAGAGGAACGGAGAGAATTGTCATTTCTGCAATTTTTTGTGATGTAGAAAGACCATAGAGTAAATGATGGATTTGTTTGTTTTTCAGATATGAAGATCAATGATGCAGACTGCTGGTTTTGATGAAGCTGGGCATTTATAACTAGATTCATTAAGGAATACAAAGAAAATATTTAAAGGGATCAATAATGGTGTCTTCTGGTTGCAGAATGCGAAGTCTGTGGTTTATCATTGTAATCAGCTTCTTACCGAATACAGAAGGTAAGATCCAGTTTACATTTTGTTTTTTAAATCCAGAAGAACTTGAAATATACAATCTTCTTTATATGGAAGTACCTAGAATATTCATTTATTATTTTAAAAATAGTCATTAAAATGATTTCCTGAATATTGAATTCTTTATTAGGTGGTTGAGTTCTTTTGGTAACACAGATACGATATGGAAAGTGCTAGATATGTGAGTTTATATTTTATATACATTTATGAAATATAACCTTTCTAAATAATCCCGAGGGAACTAAATGAAAGCTCTGTTTTTTTTTTGGTATACATTTTGCATTTATTCACTACATTTATTTTAGTAAAATGGAAAGTATTTTGTGGAAACTCTTTCATCTTTAGTTACATTTGCTTAAGTGTGGGCATAATTCTAAAATTCCTAAGTTAAAATTTTTAATCTTTTATGAAAAGTTACTTTTTAATAATAGTTCATCTTTTTATGTTTATATCTTTAGCTATATATATGTGTGTATATGTATATACTTTGTAATGTTAAATTTGCAGAAATATAATAATTATTTCTTTGTATTTAAAAGTAGATGTGGACTTTTTCTTAAGCACTATTGCATTAAACATTTTTATAAATCTAGGAATAGTAATGAGTGTATTTTTCTTTTTTTTTTTTTTTGAGACGGAGTCTCACTCTGCCGCCCGGGCTGGAGTGCAGTGGCCGGATCTCAGCTCACTGCAAGCTCCGCCTCCCAGGTTCCCGCCATTCTCCTGCCTCAGCCTCCCGAGTAGCTGGGACTACAGGCGCCGCCACCTCGCCCGGCTAGTTTTTTGTATTTTTTAATAGAGACGGGGTTTCACCGTGTTAGCCAGGATGGTCTCGATCTCCTGACCTCGTGATCCGCCCGTCTCGGCCTCCCAAAGTGCTGGGATTACAGGCTTGAGCCACCGCGCCCGGCCCATGAGTGTATTTTTCAAGACAGACCTGAGTTTTAAAGAAATTAATATACTTTTGAAGCCTAATGAAATAATTGGAACCATCATTTATTAACTACTATATAGATTTCTGGTATCCGTTGTTTTCTTAGTCTTAAATATTATTTTCGTATGAAAATAACACACATGCAGGTGTTTTTTAGAGTAGGCTAGAAGTTAATATGGAGCTAAGATGTATAAATTTTATAGCTAGTTGATAGTGGCAGTTATTGACGTGAAAATGTATTAATCTTGTAAAGTGTGTGAAGGGTATAAAATCTCTGAGAAATGCATATAAAATATAATGGATTAAAAAATTCCAATTAAATATTCTTGAAAAAATGTTTAAGAATTAAAAAATTGCTTTTCTATGTACTTTTAAGTGATCTCACTTATACCTATTATTAAAATGATAGGTGGAGAAGGGGCATACTGTCAACTAATAGAAGTGTATTATTCCATTGTCTCTGTAATAAGCTTCAAAATAACATTTTAATTTTGCTGAAAGAATTTTACTTGAATTGCTTGTTCCAGAGTTACATTTTATCATATTCTCCTTGTCCCTCTAGTCCCCTACCTTCAGTATATTGATAGAATGTAATATAATTTATAAATAACAAATTTAGAAATACTTTAAGAATTTCTGTATTCAGAAAGTAAATAGTGTTCACTTGGGTTTAAGTCACACTTGGAAGTTACAATCTTTGGGTTAATATTTTATTTTCAGATGACATTGTTCTTTACTTTAGAACTGAAGATACATCGTATCTAACATCATATGTAATCTCTCTGAATGAATAATACTATCATGATAAACAGTGAACAGGAATTGTGTTTAATAATATAAATTTCTGGCTTGGATTGTTGTGAAAATCTTGTATGTAGTCTGATGATTTTGCGTCTCATTTTTGGCGGGAAAAAACCTAACTGAATTCCTGCTGTTATGTTTGAATGTTTTTTATACATTTAAAAAAGATTCCAGGTGTGGACCAATGGCTCATTAGTCCACATAATGAAAACATTTCTAATCAGGTTAGAGACCACTTTGCTTGCACAGTAGCTTAGCTCAGTGGGGGGCTAGCAAACAGAGACTTTTTTCATGAGATACTGCAGCTTTATTTTCAGTGTCATCTATCAGGTCAGGATTCATATCTGCTGTTAGGAGAAATTTCATTTTTGGTGCATCAGGCCAGGGGGTATTGCTTCTGAAGCACTTCCCTCCTACGAGTAAAAAGAACCTGGGACGAACCCATACTGCTAATTGTAAGAGTATACACAGTTAATACACACTGTTAGAACATTGATCCAGTATCGCATGGGTTTGTTTTAGAAAGAGAAAGTCTTACATGACATGATAGTCGTTTATTGCCAGAAAGCAGATAATGCTCTGTGAACATCTATAGAGAAAGCCAATCAACGTTAGGTAAGAAGGCATAGGAAGGCAGATAAATTTCTTTTAGGCCCTTTCATGATTGTAACCTTTTAACATCTTACAGAGTTTAGTTCTTTTTGTACCAATTTCTAGGTTCTTGCAGGTAAACTCAGATAAGTTTTCCTGAGTGATTTCTTCCCTGTTTCCTCATTTATTGAGTGATTAAATTGAGCTGCATGCTTAGGATTCAGAAATACACAAGGAAAAATAATGCATTAGGCACGGTTCTTTTTTCGTTTGTTTTATTTTATTTTTATTTTTATTTATTTATTTATTTATTTTTTGAGACGGAGTCTCGCTCTGTTGCCCAGGCTGGAGTGCAGTGGCCGGATCTCAGCTCACTGCAAGCTCCGCCTCCCGGGTTTACGCCATTCTCCTGCCTCAGCCTCCCGAGTAGCTGGGACTACAGGCGCCCGCCACCTCGCCCGGCTAGTTTTTTGTATTTTTTAGTAGAGACGGGATTTCACCGTGTTAGCCAGGATGGTCTCGATCTCCCGACCTTGTGATCCGCCCGTCTCGGCCTCCCAAAGTGCTGGGATTACAGGCTTGAGCCACCGCGCCTGGCCTATTTTATTTTTTATTTTCCCATAAGTTATTGGGGCACAGGTAGTATTTGGTTACATGAGTAAGTTCTTTAGTGGTGATTTTTGAGATCCTGGTGCACCCATCGCCCGAGCAGTATACACTGCACCATATATGTTGTCTTTTATTCCTCACCTCGCTCCCACTCTTCCCCCTAAGTCCCCAAAGTCCATTGTATCATTCTTATGTCTTTGTGTCCTCATAGCTTAGCTCCTACATATCAGTGAGAACATGGGATGTTTGGTTTTCCATTCCTGAGTTACTTCACTTAGAATGATAGTCTCCAGTCTGATCCAAGTGACTGCAAATGCTGTCAGTTCATTCCTTTTTATGGCTGAGTAGTAGTCCATCACATATGTATACACACACACACACCACAGTTCCTTTATCCACTCGTTGATTGATGGGCATTTGGGTCAGTTCCATGATTTTGCAGTTGTGGTGCTGTAAACGTGTGAAGGCACGGTTTTTACTCTTGAGAAGCTCATGGTCTTGTGCAGGGATTGAAACCTTAAATACCTGTTGGTGCCTTGAGGGCAGCGGACTTGAGGTCAGATAAGAAAATGCTTGTCAGAGGACCTGTGATTACCATTCCAGTATTTAGCTTGGTTTTTCCAGTCTTCTGCCTTTCAGTAGAAATCAAACATTAGGATTTTTAAGTAATGGCAGCTAATTAAGATTTTGTTTAAAAAACAAGTGTGTATGTCGTAGAATAGCCATGGGTTATGCCTTTCTTTTTAGATCTTTTTTTTCCTCCTGTTACAGTTGTATTTTACCTTGGTACGTGATTTTAAAGGCTTCACATAATTTTGGATTTGCTTTACATCTGTACATAGTGAGATATACATTTCCAAATTCATAAGGCAAACATTATAAATGTCATATTTTGTGTACACATAAAAGGGCAGATCACTAAGTATTTTTAAAGTTTGAACATGGTAAAAGCTAATTATACAAAGGTTTAATTGTTAACATCTACCTATCTCTATCTTGAATCAAGTCTTATCCATTAAAATTTACCTGTTTCTGTAAAATAGGATTAATATTTTACATATTCTCTAAGCTTTTCCTATAACGTATTTTGGGGAAAGTTATATTTAGAATTTCCAAATAAAAATGATTTTATACAGACCATACTTTCAAAATATTTTGTAAATTTTTCTTATAATTGATTTTATTTCTAGAGAACTAATCTCAGATGCTTTAAAAGTCAGTTTTGTTGAGAGACTGGTGTGCTTTGATTCTTTTGGCCAGTTTTTATAAGCATAGTACCCACTGTGGAATCATGTATCAGTAAGTAGAAAGTAAATTGAATTTTTGTGTCCTAGAGAATTAAATTATGCTGTATAATGGAGCCTTGGCAAGCATAAGTTAGACACATGAAGGCTTGCTCAAGTGACAAGTTACAAATAATAGTACTCCTTCAGCAAAATCAGTAATATGGATTTCAGGTTGAATTCTTTATGCAATGAATATGTAATTAGATTTTATTAGTCAAAGTTTTACTTAATTACCTGAAATTACCTTGTTGCTTATCCTTATTTCAAAGAAAAATGTTATGCCAGATATAAATGTGAGAGATGCCACAAATAGCTTTATGTATTTATTTTATATAAATCAAGAAAATATGGTAAACATAGTTGTAGAAATAGTTTCTTGCTAGTTTTTACTGTACTTTTAAGTTCTCTAAGTACATTTTATAATGACTTGAGTTAATGTTATCTCTCTAAAAAATATGTGTCTGTAGGGTCTTTTCACTATTTGGGTAGAAGAAAAAAAGGCAGATTTAGGGGTTAAATATGAAATAGTGAAAACTGTTTCTGGCATATTTCCATAGATATTTCCTTCAGAATGGGCTGAATTTGGTGGAACGATTAGTAACTTTATTCTCCAAGGTTAAATGTAAGAAAGATTGATATAATTCAGACTACTGTATTCATTCCTCCTTTTTTCTTTCATTCTTTGATTTACACACGCATATAACAAAATCTGTATATATATACACATTCTTGTGTGTATATATATGCGTGCACATACACACACA